TGTTAAAAGTATTCCTGATGTAATGCGGTAGGAGAAGCACTCAACCCTGAGGTCAGCTTAAACTACAAGGTTGGCGTTTCAAACTCACCAGCGGCTCCTGGGAAACCCTATACAAGGCCACTCTGAGTTAACAACATCCTTAAGAAAAGTTCTCCTAGGCAGAATTTCATTTGAGCCTCCATGTTATTTGCTGCTGCCGCTGTCGGGGAACTCATTTATTTTATCAGCTTCTTCCAGAGACTTTTGGGGGTGGTGGTCAGTCAGGGTCAGCTGCAGTGATGTTTAATCAGTTGCTATGAAATCAAGTCTGGTGATTCAGTACTGTAATGTAATCTCCACCCCAGACCAGCAGCATCTAGGGCCCTCTTCTGGAATCCCAGTATGGCCCCTAAAGGACCACTGCTGGCCGGGGGGGGGGGGGTTGTGGAGAGAGAATGAGTCTTATCTATGAGTAGAAACATGATCGCACACATCAAGAGTATGAAATACTAAGTTTGCCCTTTTATATCCAAGGCACTTCCCATGTGATGTGTACATGGTTTGCCATTGGAATCTCTCCTTTAGAATGTCCTTAAAATGGTGTGTTCCAGGGCATGGGAGGGCCAGGACACACCACGTGTGGGCTTCAGGGATTCTCGGTGACAAAAGGCAAGCCACAGTGTGCTGTACTCTGGCATTAGCAGGTGGCATTTTGTTTGCGGGTCTCTGTGGCTGATGCAGAGTCAGGGGTCCCTTCTGCTGTGTACCTCATTACCCATTTGTGAAGAACAAGGACCATGCTAACGTTCTGGACCTTGTGGGTTTGGGGAAAGGATTTAGCGTGTGTCACGGTGAAGTGAGAAGGGGTGGCATTGGCCCCGTGTGTGTTCCAATCCTCAGGGTTTGCCATGTGCTCTGAAAAGCGTCCCTTCTGAACAGTGGGCTCCTGCGTTTTGTTTCCAGAATGTAGACAATGCCTTCTTAAGAATTCACAGACAAGGGGGGCAGCCCTTTATGTATGTTGTCCTTGTGCTGGGCGTTGTGAACATGGATTCTTTCAAGGAAAAAAAAAAAGAAAGAGAGAGGGAAAAATATATATATTGCCATCCAGCGGAGAAAAGGATAACTCCCGCTTCATTCAGGAAAAATGCAAGCTGAAATATGCTTAACTCTTTGAACTTGGCTGAGGATTTGATTGTCATCTGGGGCTTTCTCCAGGCATCCAGAGACAGACGGGGGCTATGTGCCTTTAAAGGGAAGGGGGTAGCTCTGTAAACTTCCCTCCAGTTGTGCCTCACCAGGTTTTCTGTTGTTGTTGTTTCGGGGTTGTTTTTTTTTTGTTCCCCTTCGGTAGGACAGGAAAGTGTTAATTTCTTATTTGTACACTTTTTTTCCCCCGACTTCCTTCCTATTCACTTCATTAAATCTCGAGGCAGTTCGGCATGGGAGCCGTCTGTATGTTGAATTAGGGCTGCACTTTTACGCATCACGTCACGAGTCGGAAAACGGGGGGTTTGCTTCAGTGACTTATTTCAATATTGTGCTGGTAAAAGGTTTGGAAGGGAGTTCTTTTTTTCCGGGGGGGGTAGGACTTTAGCGTTGTGTAGCAAGTTTTTTTTGATCATTTAAAAAATGTTATTCCTCCCTCCCCAACCCCCTTCACCCTAGCACTCAACTTGAATCAGTTGGAGGGGGAAAAAGATTTAAAAAAAAAAAAAAGAAAAGAAAGAAAGAAAAGAGGAGTTTAAAATCTCCCTGAATAATTTTACATACATGCAGCAGGCATAAGGGTCCTCTACTCTTTTAAGTCTGAGAAGCATTGAGCAATCTTTCCTGGAGTGATTTCCATTAGAAAAGAATGGGACATCCGAGGGCAGGGAGGTCTTCTTGGGGATGGCTTTGGGGTTCAGGAGGGAGGAAGGTGTTTTGTGGCGCTCTGCCTAAAGTTAGAATGGGCCACGTTCCGGGTGTCTTCTTGTCCTTCCAAGCCTGAATTTAATAAGACCCTGCACCCTTGCACGTAGTAGCCATTGTAATAAAATTCAGCCCCTGATGCTGTTGATTATTTCGCTTTGCTTTTAAGCTACTACTCCCCAGATTTCGAGATTGAAAAGTCCAAATATCAAAAGCTCAGGCTTTGATTTTTTTTTAATTCTCCTTTTGGCAAAATTGGGGGTGTGTGTGAGTGAGTAGAATTACCCCTTTTTTCACAACTCCACACACACTCCCCACCCCCTTCATTTATCCCACTGAAAACAGAACAACAATGAACATTTTTTTACAGCATGAAAACTGAAAGTGAAGCGTCACAGTTGTTCCGGGATTTTCTTTAAAGAGAAAGAACAGCATACAGATGGAATTCAAAATTCCTGAACCTCTTCAGTCCATGGCTCTTTTATTTACATGGAAAGAAGAGGAGGGGGAAAAAAATTGCCTTTTATTTTGAAAAAACATTTTAGACTGCTCTCGGCCAAGCCAGTCTGCGTTTCAGAAGGCAGGAAAATGAGGTTTAAAATACCAATATCAAAAAACTGCATACCTTGTTTTTAATTATTTTTTTTAAATAAATTTGAATGTTAATTGGTGTTCTTATAGGCTTAATGATTTAGAAGACCAGCCTGACTCAGAAACCACCTGAGCTTTGAAAAAAAAAAAAGGGGGGGGGGGAGAAAAAAAAAAGTCTTAAATCTGCTCCTTGGAATAATAAGGGGGGAAAATATGATAAGTAGTTGTCAATATTAAAACAGGCTGGAGGAGGGAGGCTTTGGGCCTTGTAGTAGGAGAATGAAACAGCAGATCTGAGTCTCCACAATCCTTGCAGTATTAAATTTTCAGTAAAATAAAATTACTTGTATATGAAAACATAGCCTTTCCCCAGTTCTCTGTTTTTTTTTTCTGATCAGCTGATGAAGAGACTAGCAGCCCGCTGCTTTGCTGGCTTGTTAATTTTATCCCCACTAACTGTGATTTCCGATAGCAGCCGGCCTGCTGATAGTGGCAAGGTAAATACCCTTTGTCGTTTGGGTCTTGAAGATTCAGTGGAAGTACATCTCAGGCATGTGTAGGTGTGTAACACGTCAAAAGTCGGTGCTCCGCCGGGGTTCCGTGTGCGGCCGGGTGCTGGAGGAACCAGCCAGCCTATTAACTGTTGACAGTCTTGCATGCTGTATTTATTATTAGCATGTTCAGCCTCCAAGATTGGCGGGGAT